GGGCTGAGGGTCATTTCCTGAGATTTCTGACATAAATACAAGGGAAAGACCAGTCAGGGTGGTTTCCCGTTATTATTGAGACACTGTCTATAGAAGGGTTCCCATCCAAGTCAAAAGAGTCCCCACTACCCTTTTATTTATCACATAGATTGAACCCTGACAAGTGCTCCACTCTGGGTCTAAGTGGACCTGGGATAAATAGTGGCTAAGAGGTGGCTCCGTACTCCTCAGGGCCAGAACCCCACTACCGGATGCAGTCTATACTCATACCGAGGGGAAACATATATATATATATATATATATATATATATATATATATATATATATATATATATATATATATTTATGTGTGTGTGCTTGTGTGTGTGTGTGTGTGTGTGCGTGTGTGTGTGTGTGTGTGTGTGTGTGTGTGTGTGTGTGTGTGTGTGTGTGTGTGTGTGTGTGTGTGTGTGTGTGTGTGTGTGTGTGTGCGTAGATATATATGTCGTGTGTGTGTGTGTGTGTACATATATATATATATATATATATATATATATATATATATATATATATATATATATATATTTATTTATTTATATATATACATATATATACATACATATATATATATATATATATATATATATATATATATATATATATATATAATATATATTATATATATATATATATATATATATATATATATATATATATATATGAATATATAGAGATATGTATGTATATATATGTATGTATATGTATATATATACACATACACACATATATACTTATACATACATACATACAATGCATATATATATATATATATATGCATATATATATATATATATATATATATATATATATATATATATATACATATATATATGTATGTATACTTACGTATATGTATATGTATATATACATATTTATATATATATATATATATATATTTATATATATATATATATATATATATATATATATATATATATATACATATATATGTTATGTCTCATAACTACTAAATCATCACCAGAATCTGAATCTGCTCCTGAAAAACTACAAGCATTCTTTACATTGTTTCTATACCTTTGTCGAACTAGTCGAAATAGCTCGGCAAATTTTGGCGGTGCAAGGAAATGGCTACCTAGTCGTGATGGAGTCACTTTCCCCCGGTTGGCTTTTTCCATGTAATTGCGCCTTTTTTTTCCTGCTCAAAACAATTTTTGTCACTACAATCTCCCTCTGCTAACAGAACTCAACAAATCTTTCTCCTCTCTCATTTTGGCAGCATGTCCGATTAGTCCTATTTCCGTTCCATCCTTTCCTTCTCCAGTGACACCGTTCCTATCTCCCATTATTATTAAATTATCAATTTTCTTTTTGCCTCAATCAGATCATTCAGTTGTTTATATATCTTCTGTACCCCATGCTCTTATATTGGCATATATACCTGTATAATTACCAGATCTACAGGTTCAGCTTACACTCTTACCATGATTAATCTTTCAGTGTGCAATACAATCTTTGCCTTGAATTGCTACGCCTCCTTAATAATCCTTGTTTCATTACTTACGAGATCTTTACTCTCTTTCCATCGCACTTTTCTAAGGCGAAATATATTTAATCCATTTTTATTCATCTCTCTTTTCATGTTTTCCAACTTTCCTTTCTTTTGCATCGTTCTTACATTCAGTGTCCCAATTCTCATACTTCTATTTGGCTGTTGTTCATGCGCAGAGCCAATACTGTTTCCTGCTAAGTCTGCACTCTTTGATGAGAACAGTCCTTTTAACCCCGTGAGATTTTTAGCACCCCCTTCTACACGGGGCTGAGGGTCATTTCCTGAGATTTCTGACATAAATACAAGGGAAAGACCAGTCAGGGTGGTTTCCCGTTATTATTGAGACACTGTCTATAGAAGGGTTCCCATCCAAGTCAAAAGAGTCCCCACTACCCTTTTATTTATCACATAGATTGAACCCTGACAAGTGCTCCACTCTGGGTCTAAGTGGACCTGGGATAAATAGTGGCTAAGAGGTGGCTCCGTACTCCTCAGGGCCAGAACCCCACTACCGGATGCAGTCTATACTCATACCGAGGGGAAACATATATATATATATATATATATATATATATATATATATATATATATATATATATATATATTTATGTGTGTGTGCTTGTGTGTGTGTGTGTGTGTGCGTGTGTGTGTGTGTGTGTGTGTGTGTGTGTGTGTGTGCGTGTGTGTGTGTGTGTGTGTGTGTGTGTGTGTGTGTGTGTGTGTGTGTTTGTGTGGGTTTGTGTGTGCAAAGGCATTCATCCGTTTGGTGGGGAAGTAGATAGATAATCAGGTCTGTTGAGGAAGCCCCGCTTAAGAGGCGAGGCGGCCAGGGGAGGCGTGTCATGCAAGGCCAGCGCGGGCGGCGGCCACGGTACTTACGCTGCGCCGGAGACGACAAAGAATACCAGGAGCACGACGCCGCCTGTGACTGTAGTCTCCATGGCTGCGGCA